CAACCAATGGCGATGTTGCCAAGGCTAAGTCTGTATCTCAGAGTTTGAGTTGTTTGAACGCGTCGTAGTACATAATCTCAACCGAGCTTCCCTGGTCGATCAAGATGCGCTTGACATCAAATTCTATGACGCGGAGTGTGACCACGAGGGCATCGTTGTGTGGTGTTTGAATGCGCTCTAGGTCTCTCATGGAGAAACTAATCACGTCTTTCTTCTCGGTCTTGCCCCTTTTGATCGCGGGCTGGACCGACAACACTTCCCTCATGTGTTTTGCCTTTTTAATTATCCATCGGAGCTCACATACACAGGCAGGCTCCACTATGCCGTGGATCACGTTAACCACTCCTTGAGGGGGCAGCTCTAAGTCATCAGGTCCATGCTGATCAGCTGGATTGGGATGTGCGGCCTTAACACCCCCGTCAATGTAAAGATCCAAGTGTCCGGCTGCGACTAGCTCCTCCAAGTGTTGCTTCAGAGGCAAACAGTCCTCTTTCCGGTGTCCGCGCTCCTGGTGGAATGTACAGCGGTACAGCGGATTGAAGCCTTTTTGCGCATCGCCTAACTTAATAGGAAACCGGACGTAATCCTCGTCACGGATTTCGCTAAGTATACGATAGATTAGAATCTTAAAGGCCGTGGTGATGCCCGTCCGAGCTTTCAACCTTCTGTTTGCATCAGCTACATCGTCGCGGGGGTATTCATCTCGGTCATTCCGCCGACCCCTATTCTGGTTTTGATGATTTGAACCTCGGTCAGATTCCTCGGCGCGATCATTTGAACGGTTGGTCTCCTGTCCGACCGCGTGCACCTTGCTAGCCGACCTCTTGTTCGTTGTTACTGGAGTTGCCTTCGCGGTTGATGCTGCCGCATCATCTTCTACTCGGATGTGCTCGTTGATGCGCTGCATTAGTTGGCCCATGGATGTCGGTTGGTGCATGGTAAGCGAGTCCCACAGTCTATGTCCGACCGGGAGACCACGCTTATATTGTGTGATTGCCAGGTTGACCGGGCAATCCAAGATCTCATTGAAGGTTTCCCAGTATCTGGAGTTGTATGCCTTGAGTGTGTCGCTCGGCTCCATTTTGACACTGAGAAGGTGATCCACCACCTTCGACGTTTTAGTGTTTGTCTTGAAACGAGTTATAAAGGCTTCCGCCAGCTGCTGTCACCTGTCGATACTTCCCTCCGGCAACCTCTCAAACCATTTCAAGCCCAGCTCGCCCAACCTTAACGGGAAGATTAGGCACATAAGAGCGTCATTCCGCCTATGTCCGACCATGACCTGTCGGAAGTGGCTTACATGCATGTATGGATCGGTCCTCTCGTCGTAGAGCGTAAACTTGGGCTGGTGAAAGCCCGCGGGGAGCGGCGTTGTTTCTATCCCCAGGGAAAAGGGAGTGGCACTCAGTCTCGCCAGATCTGTGTCTAGAAGGAGGGGCACAGCTGGGCGGGGTGGTGGTATTACGACTTCTTCACTGACATGACCCCCATAAGATAGCCGCTGGAGCGCCGGCACCCGCTGAGTCTCTCGCCGGCGAGCCTGCTCCTTTAAGACTGCTCGCAAGTCCTTTGAGCAAGCGGAATAGGAATACCTCGACGTCGTCGTCGGACATGAGGGCTGATAGGTATTGTCTTGCGCGCTAGACCTTTTTTCCGGCGCGTCGGACTCTCCAACCCTGTAGCTTCTGGTGATAGAAAGAGACGGAGTGTGCCGCTGGCTCTGACTGCCTAAACGGCGAGGTTGGGTGCGCTCACTATGGTCTCCCACTCCAACTACACCCTTCCCTTTGACATGCCGCTTAAGATCCTCCATCTCCACCGCCATTCTCCGGATGACGGCGTCTTGGTCCCTTAGCTTGTGTTCCAGACGTTTGGCATGCGATTCTCTCCGCCGCCGGTGACTATCTGGACTCCGAGAATGACCAAAGCTTCTACCGCGCTTATCCCACGCGTCTCTTGAATGTACTCCTGGAGAAGTCTCCAGGTCCACCATCGGAGGAATGGCGAGGTGTCCTTCTTTCCGTCTGGCTGACTCCGGGGTAACTCCGTCGATGGCGAACAACGGAATCTCGTCGTTGTTCGCCATGGACGGCGATCAGATGAGCTGGGAAGACAAGGTTTTGTCTATCAACTTCCCACAGACGGCACCAATTGTACGGGGAGCAAATATTCTGGCGAGCCCGTACTCCTTTCTTCCAAGCTCCCTGTTTGTCTGATCGACCTGCGAACACAATGACAGTGAGCTACCCGGCGGTGTGTGGCCGAAAAACCCCTCCGACGGTCAAGTTAGCACACATTCAGGGATATAGAGAGAGAGGAAAGAGTTGAATGTCTAAGTGTATCTCACCAAATGATTATCTGTCTAAGCATGGGGGCGCAAACACGCTTATATACTTTCTGCGTCCCAAATCTACTCCCATTAGTCTCTCGACACGTGGTGCTGCTATCCCATCTGTCAGCACAAATCCAGCAATCATCACCTATCCAAACTGTCAGGATATCTTGGCGGAGCCCGGCAGACCGGCGGAATCACCTCGGCCTCACCCAGTCGTGTTGCACCGCATGCCCGAATGCTCACTAGCCGAGCTCTATACCGACCGACCTCTGCTGCATTTCGGCAAAGCTGGGCTCGAAATAGGTCACGCGGGTAAAACAAAGGCCTTCCTGCCGAGCTAAAGGTGCGAACCTTCCTGCCGAGCTAAAGGCGCGAGCCTACCTGCCAAGCAACGCAAGTAGCACGGTTTTCACCTGTGCACGTTCAAGTAGCTTGGTCTTGGGCTTTAGACGAGCAGCCCCCATCTCCGGGCAAGCCCCTAAGCTGTCCTGGCCCAAACGCGCTCGGCCTTCAACTTGCCCGGCTCTCTTACCATGGCCCATTTCCAGCTCATAAAATCTCCCTCTCAGAAACAATAAAAAATAATTCAAACTAGGCATTTAGAAATAGTACTTGAATGGTGAACAAAAATATTTAGTTGAAAACTAATTCTCAAATGAGTTTTTAATTATGGCCTCGTTTAGAAAGTTTGTTATTTTAGTAGGTTATTTTCGTTTTTGATTATTGTAATAGGTTATAATTTTTGTGTTTGGAAAAATAATTAAATTTTTTTATAGTTAGATGTGATGTTTGTGAGAAAAAAAAAAAGAAATAATTATGAATTTAATGTGATATTTTATCTTATTGATTATTTTAACTTATTTTGTCTTTTTATAAATTTTAACTTAAAAGAAGTCAAAATTCACTTCCCATTTTTTATTTTAGAATAATTTTTTTAATTAAGAGTATTATTAAAAAAAATTAAAGATGGTGTCCATCATACACTTGATTGGCTTGCAAATTTATACATAGCGACAAAAAAAAGGTTGGTACTCACAAACCCTCCACACTTCTATCACATTTGGTGAGAGTATGTTTGGCAAGATGGTTTTCAGGTTTTTTTGGCTATTTTAGCCACAAAAAATAAAATAGGCTATTTTAGTCATAACAAACAAAACATCACATCCAACCCATAATCATTACATTCTTCTCTCATAAAAAAAGTCAAAAAAGCCAAAAAGCCAAAAAGCCTTTCCCAAACTAAGCTTTTTAGCCCAGGCTAAAATAGCCAAAAAAACCAAAAAGCCAAAAAGTCAACCCACTTCCCAAACGGAGGCTGAGTCAGTTTCAAATCATAAATAGATACAGACAAATGACTATACAGTGCCCTCGTTTGGCACTGGATTAAAATGAAGTTTCGGATTTTTTTAATCATAACAAATAAAAAAAATTAAAAAATTAAAAAGATAAAATATCTTATTTAAATTATAATTATTTGATTTTTTTCATAAAAATCAAAAAATTAAAAAAAAAATTAATCTAAATAAACTTTTAAATCTCAAATTAAAATAACCAAAAATTAAAAAAACTAAAAAAGTCAATTCATTTTTCAGACGAAGCTAATATTATGTTGACAAGTACTGAAAAATAAAATATAATATAAAAACGTCATTAAAGTGTTGTGTGAATAATATTTTCTTAATCATTCATTAGCTCCATAATTTTTTATCTAGAAATGCTATGCAGCTTAATAATTTTTTTTCATTTACTAATGTGATAGCATTTAATATGACGTTTAAATAATGCTAATTACAGTGTAATAATATAATAAATATCTCATAAAAAAAGATTTATGTATGCTTCGTAACATGTCAACAAAATCATTTTAGACATTTTATGAAAGAATAATACTATGAATTCAACAGTATCAACTTAAAGCATCTGCATTACTAATAGATATTTTACCTATCTAAATATTATTATAAAATATATATTTCATTTGTTTTGTCAATTTTTTTATATTTTTATTTTAACTATACTCTTTATTTTAAATATTCACTCAACTATTATTAACTTTAAAGAATACCCCGTCAGCAACAAAGATAGAGAAAAACAATTCTAATGATTAAATACATTTTGTCTAACTTTTGAAGGCTAGTTACATATAACTAATAAATATAAATTGAGCCAAAATATCTAATTATATACCTACTAGGTTAGAGATACTCTTAAAAATTATTCAAAATTTTCATCTTTAGTTTAAAATTTATTTTATACATAAATCTCACATTATATAAATTTAATTCCTACCCTCAAATCAATCACCGAAACAATGTTGAATGAATAAAATTTGAGTCCCCAAGCGTTTTCCTTTATGAAAAGTCCACAACAAAATATCAAAGTATTCATCAGTCAACGAATCACAGAGGCCGAGAAAGGGTAGTTTTGACAATTCAATGTATCGTTATACGAGAGAAGATGACTTTTTCTGAACACAGAATCGGTTCTAAATTCTAATACATAAGAAGAGGACAATTTCAATGCTTGCTAACCCTTAAAAAAACCCCATAATATCATTTCTACCCAATATTGTATCAAATGCCGGTTAATCTCGTAAATACGACGAAAACCCAATGGCATTTCCAAACCCTCCCTCTATATATACGCACCTCCACTGATCCATCCATTCAATTTCAATCCCAAACCTCCTTGACTCTCTCTCATTTTCTCTCTCTAAAACCATGCAAATAGGATCAACACTTCCGGCACAAAATCTGAACCTGTTTCAGACAAGACGAGCCAGCTTCAAGTGTCGTGGCTCACCATTGAACCCAGGGAGTTCATCACAATCTGTTAAACCAGTTGCATCCGCCGAGTCGACTCGGAAGACTCTATCTAACCTTGAAAAGCTACTTCAAAAGCAATCCCCACCGAATTCACGTTCACCCGACCCAAAACCGGTTCACAAAGAATCCAATAATGGGTCGCCGGAAATTAAAGGGAAGGGGCTCTTGGAGGCCTTGAAATTGACCCGAATTTGGCCCGAAATGAAGGTGGCGGAGGAAATGTCGCCCCGTCACCTCAACCGCCTCCAGCGGCTTTTATCGAAGTCGCCGGAATATTCTCCGAGAAACAGGCTCGGTAACCGGTGGAGAGAGTACCACGGCTGCAACGATTGGACCGGACTCCTCGACCCGCTCGACGAGAATCTCCGGCGAGAGGTGGTCCGGTACGGCGAATTTATTCAGGCCGCTTACCATTGTTTTAATTCAAATCCCGCCATGTCAGCTGACGAAGCTCCGTTTCCTCGATACGTGGCGTTGCCTGATAGGTCGTATCAGCTGACAAAAAATTTGTATGCCACGTCATCAATTGGGTTGCCAGGGTGGGTGGATGACGTGGCACCGGATCTTGGGTGGATGACCCAGCGAACAAGTTGGGTCGGGTATGTCGCAGTGTGTGATGATCAGAGGGAGATCGCACGGATGGGGAGGAGAGATATTGTCATCGCTCTACGTGGGACAGCCACGTGTCTTGAGTGGGCTGAGAATATGAGGGACCTACTAGTTCAAATCCCGGGCCAAAATGACTCGACCCGTGGACAACCCAAGGTGGAATGCGGGTTTTTGAGTCTATACAAAACATGTGGAGCTCAAGTGCCAAGTTTAGCTGAGTCAGTAGTTGCAGAAATTCAAAGACTAATGGATCTATACAAAGGTGAGACACTAAGCATTACTGTGACTGGGCACAGTCTTGGTGCGGCCTTAGCCCTACTGGTGGCCGATGAACTGAGCACATGTGCACCAGAGGTGCCACCGGTTGCGGTTTTCTCCTTTGGCGGCCCTCGTGTTGGCAATCGGGGTTTTGCAGATCGTATTAATTCAAAAAATGTCAAGGTTTTACGTATTGTGAACTCTCAAGACATGATCACCAAGGTACCAGGGGTGTTCGTCAGCGAAGGGCTCGACAGGACGCTGAGGAACTCAAGCGCGGCTGGGGTACTTGACGCGCTTGACAGTCACATGCCATGGGCTTACTCCCATGTTGGGACTGAATTAAGAGTTGATACAAAGATGTCACCATACCTAAAGCCTAATGCAGATGTAGCATGTTGCCATGATTTGGAGGCATATTTGCATCTAGTGGATGGTTTTATGTCGTCAAATTGTCCATTTAGAGCAAATGCTAAGAGAAGTCTAGTGAAATTGCTGCAAGAACAAAAACCTAATGTGAAAAAATTGTACACCAGTAAGGTCAAAGTCTTGAGCTTGAATCTGAAGAGGGAGGAAATGCTTATGTCAAGTTGTTTACAAAGTCCTTCTTGATGTTTTACAAGGAAATATTTGTAAAAATACCCATTATTTGGGCAAGGATATAAATAAATATGCTTCTTGTACAAACTTGAATAAGAAGATCCATACCTTTGTCTTTTTATCTATCCAATTGCAAAAATATCTTTTGTTATAATCCAAATATTCATAAAGTCATCACTGCAACCAATTAAGATTTTAGAGGCAAAAATTAGGAATAAAATCATTTTTCAAGAATGAAATGTCTTAACTGTTAAAAGTGTCATTACTATATTTTTAGCGACAAAATTGAACATGTAATGATGAATTATCAATCTTTTGGGATCAAAATTTTTATTTCAAAGATTAAACATTTTTTACACGAAATTATTTTGTTTCAAAGTGCATTGACTAGCGACATTTCAAATTTTGTTGCTAATTTTTTTTTTTAACTTTTTAGTGACGAATCTTCTAACAATAAGAATTTATCTGCTATTATTTTTTTCTAATAAAATTTTCAACTTTAAAAATGAAAATGTTTAACTCTTAAAATCTTTATAGGTTGTAGTGTAGTTTCAACATTTTAGTAGTATTTTTAAACTACTTTAAGTCATTTCATTAAAAGAAAAAAATAAGGAAAACTTCCATTCCACATATACATTAAAGAAAAAGGGATTTGCTTATCTCGGTACTAAATCGAATTGGAGAGGTATTATTAAGTCTATTGGGCCTATTTTTATATTCTGTTTCGATAATTTGAACCAGTTATACTTTAAGATTCGTTAATTACATCATCTTACAAGAAATTAATTCGATCAGATAACGAAAATCACGTGTTTGAATCAATTTTGTATGAAAAAAAATAGGTGGTAAGAAAATAAACGGTTCATACAAAACTGATCCAAACTCATGGTTTCTGTTATCCGATCAACTTGATTTTTTATAGAGACAGTGTATTCAATGAACCATAAAATATAAGGTTGCGTTTGGTAGAATTTTGTAAATATGATTTAAGAATATGAGTTGTATTTTGAGTTTGTGAGTTGTGGAATTATGATTTGAGTGTAGAAAATTTGTTTGGTTATGGTTTTTGAAGAGAGTTTTGAATTGAGTGTGAAATTGAGTTTTAAAAGTTTGATTTGACATGTGAAGTAAGAAAACTTGTTTGGTTATGAGTTTTGAAAAGAGTTTTCAAAACTTAATTTAAATTGTTATAACTCATAACAAAACACACTACTTTCACACTATTAAAAACTCTGATCAACACTCATAACCAAACTCTTTCTAAAATTCAATTAAAAAATTTTATTATTAATAGAAAACAACATTAATCAATTTTTTAATTAAAAATACTACAAAGGAAATAATTTTTTTTTCAAAATAAATATTCAAAAAAATTAAATCATTAATATTTAAATAATTTAAATAATCTAAAAAATTTAATAAGTAAAAAATTAAAATAAATATTCAAAAAATTTAAATCATAACAATTTAAATATTCAAAAAATTTAAATAATTTAAAATGTTAATATTTTAAATTTAAAAACAATTCTACACTCAAATCGTAACCAAACACATAAAACAAAACTCAATTAAGAAATTATTTTTAAAACTTATAACCAAACACATAACTCGAAACTTCATACTACTTTCACAACTCTACACTTAAATCGTAACCAAATATATAACAACACAATTAAAATATTTAAAAATATTTTTATAAAATAGAGTTTGAATTTATTTTTATAAAATATTTTAAATTTGAAAAAATTAAAATCGTAATATTTTGAAATTAAAATATTTGAAAATATTCAAAAAATTAAAAAATTAAAAAAATCATAACATATTTAAATATTAAAATATTTAAAATCTTAACAAAATTAAAATATTTTAAAAATATTTAAAAAATTAAAATATTGATTTGAATTAAGTTTTAAAAAGAGTTTTGAATTATGTGTTTGGTTATGAATTTTGAAAAATAATGATTACATTTTGAATTAAGTTTTGAGAAATAAATATAGAATTATGATTTGAAAACTCAAAACAAACAACACACTTAAATTAATGGATGAAACTATAATTTGAGAGTCTCATCAAAGGAAGCCTAAGCTTTTAACTACAATTTGACTAAACATTTAACTATTTTGATATGGATGCTCTTATATCGACATAGACCAGTAAGGTCTCTAAGCAATTTCTCACGAAACTAAAGTGAATTTGTTTTTCTTCCCACTTTTTCTATAGAAACAAGTTTGAAAGTCAATACAGAAAATAATGCAAAACCACTAAACCGGTCATCATTAGGAGATCCACAAAATCTACACCGTCTGGTGGACGAGATGGTCCATCCCCAACGTATGCTAAACACCTGATCTAGAAAGGTAGAATATTCACAACTGCTCAGTATTGATCCACAAATGAACACTTAGTTTATATATATTGATTAATAGAACACTTAGTTTATATATATATATTGATTAATAGAAGAAAACTTAATTAACTCAACGCAAAAGTCAATAAAGATTAAGGAGAAAACTTCACAAAATAAAGATACATCCCAAATAAGTTGGCACAGACTGTAAATCAATCCTGAGCAAACACCTTAACCAAACAATCCACTTATATATATATATATATTTAACATTAATCTTTGATCTAATCGATTCCTGATAATCTCACAAAGTATTTATGGAATCAATTAGGCTTAACTAACTTTGACCAATATAATTGACTTGCTAGAAAAAGTGGAAAAAGGAGATAAAGGAAAAGAAAAGGTTAGAATGAAGTACCAATTACTGGTAATCAATTCACAGATTTCTCCTTTGCCCCTCCATTCTATTTCTTCAGAGATAAGCCACAGCCACTAAACAATTCAACAAAATAAAAAATCATCAATATCAAATTAAACCAGGCTGAGATATTATAGATGCAATACATAATGATGATGAAAAAAAGTTCCATCCATTGCTTTGATCTGAACACCCCGGTGCCAATCCCCCCTTCCCCCCCCCCAAAAAAAAAAAAAAATTTGAATCCATCAGGTTATCATATCTAAGTTTTATAAGATATGACATCTGATACTAATTCTCACTTTTTTTGTTTATTTCACTGTTGATGATGTGATTAGTAACCCGACATCGGATAGCACCCAAGTATGGTCACCCTAGCTAACATCACTCCAAACTAATATAGTATAAATATTGTTATACAAGTAAATCACAAATGAGAATGAGCTGTGATATAGAGCTCTAGGTGTAGAGTTCTAAATGGAGCTCTACATATCTGGCAGGGGTAAAGACCAAAAAAAATAATAATAATAAAAAGAAAAATCATAATGGGAAAAAAGACAAATCAGAAAGAGCTCTTATTTTAGAGGTCCAAAACATTTTTGTATGAGAATTTTGGGGGTGTGTGTGTATGAGGGAGAACGAGAGAGAACTTGAGTTTGCAGAAAGTAAGTAATCCGATTGTAAGACCTTTCAAAACGAGAAGTCCATTTTCATGAAGATAGCCAACGATTTTTGCATAGTTCACCACTTGGAACTCCAGTAAAGAAACCCTAGTGTAAGTACCATCCATGAAAACCATTAAGAAGCTTGGATTCTCAGGATTTGTGTCCTTGCAGCATAAAGTCATGATCTTCACTTTCTTGGTTTCACCTGATTTGATTCTAATGATTTCTTGATACCGGTTAGGTTAGGCCGGGGGAACAAAAACTCTGATTTCCATCTCCATTGTAGACCTATCCTCAAAAGCAGTTAGCCTAGCTCCCATTGTAGATTTTGGTGCACTGTGTGCTTGTGTGTGGAATCCTATGAAAGAACTTGTAGATTTTGGTGCACTGTGTGCTTGTGTGTGGAATCCTATGAAAGAACTTGTAGATTTTGGTGCACTGTGTGCTTGTGTGTGGAATCCTATGAAAGAACTTGTAGATTTTGGTGCACTGTGTGCTTGTGTGTGGAATCCTATGAAAGAACTTGTAGATTTTGGTGCACTGTGTGCTTGTGTGTGGAATCCTATGAAAGAACTTGTAGATTTTGGTGCACTGTGTGCTTGTGTGTGGAATCCTATGAAAGAACTTGTAGATTTTGGTGCACTGTGTGCTTGTGTGTGGAATCCTATGAAAGAACTTGTAGATTTTGGTGCACTGTGTGCTTGTGTGTGGAATCCTATGAAAGAACTTGTAGATTTTGGTGCACTGTGTGCTTGTGTGTGGAATCCTATGAAAGAACTTGTAGATTTTGGTGCACTGTGTGCTTGTGTGTGGAATCCTATGAAAGAACTTGTAGATTTTGGTGCACTGTGTGCTTGTGTGTGGAATCCTATGAAAGAACTTGTAGATTTTGGTGCACTGTGTGCTTGTGTGTGGAATCCTATGAAAGAACTTGTAGATTTTGGTGCACTGTGTGCTTGTGTGTGGAATCCTATGAAAGAACTTGTAGATTTTGGTGCACTGTGTGCTTGTGTGTGGAATCCTATGAAAGAACTTGTAGATTTTGGTGCACTGTGTGCTTGTGTGTGGAATCCTATGAAAGAACTTGTAGATTTTGGTGCACTGTGTGCTTGAGTGTGGAATCCTATGAAAGAACTAGTACTTGAACCTCATATTTATATTATAGTTTCATTTGGCAACTTAGGCCTCGTTTGGGAACAGGCTAATTTAGTAACTTTTTGGCTAATTGGCTAAAAAGGTAGGTAAAAAAAACTTGTATGTTTGGGATGACTTTTTGACTAATTATGAAAAGCTGTGCAAAAAGTAGAGAGAAGCCGTAATTGTTGACTTTTTGGTATGACTAATTGGCTAATTTTTTCTCTATTTTAAACTATACAGAAACAAAGAAGAATAGAAGTTAAAAAAACAAAAAAATACATGTACATATATATTGATGCCTCGTATATTTCTATGCCCTAAATTTATATTCATATACATAAACAATAAAAATATTTTAAAAATTTGCCCACCATGTAGGCATCCTAATTTTTTTCAAAATCATTATGTCCTATGTCCTATGTCATCTCTACTTCGTTGTAGAAGATACTGATCCTATATCATCTTTTCACTCATAAAACTAGTTTATTTTACCAAGAACAAGGCTGTCCATGAAAATGAAAGATTTAGAAAAGCTTTCATGGAACTTTCGGTGTGA